GCGCGTTCGTCTGCACAATGTTTTAACACACCCGGTGACGCTGCTGCTACTGTGGTGCCACGACCTCGGAGCAAATAGATCTGCTATCACAATCCTGACATCTAGTGTGTTAGTTACAGGACATTGCACAGGGTAGATTAGACCACCACTGTCTGAGTGTTGCGTGTGTAACGTCGTGCGCAGGATTGTTGCATTCCAAGATCGTGAGAGATGGCAGGTGCTTGCGGATGCCATAATTTAGCAATGGATCGATCATGACTGCTCATGGTGATGGAAAATGGCACAGAGTAGCATGCAACATGCCTTGTAATCAAGTGCACATTATGTGCTCATGTTTTAATTTAAAATCATCCTCTGCATGGGACAGCTTCACCGAGTCTCAACGCAGTGCTCCTCAGGAGGGTCCTGCTATATCGGGTTGTTTGCCTGTTTCCGTGAATGATTGGGATGTGGGAGTAAACCGGAGTACCTGGAACAAACCCTCTGCATATTAGGAGGTAGCATTAAAAGCTCCGCACGGATGGAGTTGGCGTCGTGTCACTGCACAAGCAGCACTCGGCATTCCCAAGCAGTCGCCTCTCCGAGCACTCGGCAGGTGCCCCCTGCCTCGGCTTCCGTGACACGACGCCGAGTCTGGGCATGCCGAGGGCTGTCCGGCCTCTCCAGCCACGAGAATGCGACATCGCGGAAGCAAATGTAAAAACCTGAAACCTCGATAATAAATAAATACAAATCCCGAAACCGCCGTGGGCGTGCACGAATTAGAAGTACAGTTGCCCACGGCAGCTTGCGCGTGGCCTGGTCTGTGGTGGCGTCTGATGAGGCCGGGACCTTGTGCGCAGAAACCACACGGGTGGCAGGAAACTACACAAAGCACTCAACTTGCTGGAGAAAAAAAATAATGTACCGATTTAAAAATAAGAACTTAGCTCAACGGGAAACGCGTTGTATGCACTGTTGCAATTTGTACTGTCAACAATGATGGATCGGATGGAATGCTTGCACAGTGTTATTGCTCAATGAGGTACTACTCCTGCACGTGTCCATTTGCGCAAGACATGACATGTGCTTCCTGCACACTCAGGGCAGCTTGGCTAACGGAGAAGCAGACTCCAAGCTCCGATCCCGGCTGGGGTGCGTGCACGTCAAGACTATGCACGAGACTCGGGGCTTGTCACAATGATGAGCGTCTCACAGACCGTGCGGTGGGTTCTCACGTTGTGTGTTGTTTACTTGTTGTAAATCTCACGATCAGCCAGCCCTATTGCAGTTCAATGGCAGCTGCCTGTCTGACACTTAAATGTGTCTGTGCCTCGGTTTCTCGGGATTCCCTCAATTTATTGGGGTTCTCCCTGTATCGTGGGTTTCATGGCTTTCCCTTCCAGAAGAGGTCTCACCAATGAGCCCTTTGGGGTTGACATGCAGGGGGTGTCACAGAGTCGATTGTCGCCCTGCCGCGGTATAATAAACACCACCTCCTCGGCAAAGTGTGGTGGCCAAGTCCAGAAAGGTTGAGCCGAATTCCAACAACAGAACGTGCGCGCTCCACTTGTGACGCAGAACCACCAATAAAAGTAAACGCCGTGTGACGGCCAAAGGGACAAGCAAACTTCTAATGTTTTACCCAGAGCGTGACATTTTGTTCTTCCTGTCACTGTTGTAAAACTGGAGGTGGCACGTGAACACGACTGGACATCTGTGAAAACGAGCTTTATAGCTCATCGGATTCATCCAGTGTAAATAAATATTCTGATTCTGACCAGTTGTAGCCAAAGCCTTCGCGACGAGCGCTAGACTGGATGTGGAGTGTGTGCGAATATGTTCTGGGTCGCCAACCTCGACAGACCCGGGTGAAACCAGACCACGGCTTGTTTGGTGCAAACGCGCCGGCACTTTGGTGAAACAGCAACACGCCTCTGTCCTCGGACGTGGGTCGCTGGACAAGAATCGTCTCGTGGAGGGGTCTCTCCACGCCCGGTTGGCAGGCGGCAGGGACCCGGCGCGCACCCTCCACGCTCGGGCGCGCACGATCTGTCAGCGGTAACGCGACACCGCCGCTCTCCTCTCCTGCCGCAAGTTGTTTAACAGCTAACGGTCGTGGGAACTGCGCGTTTTTTGGTTTAGTTTGTTGTCCTTCCGCACCTGCGATTAGCACGTACGGTGCGAAAGAAGTTCAACATACATACGTGGGGGCTGGCTGTACACTCACTCATTGCGGGGTTCAGCAGCAGCTGCTGCTGCTGCACGATGTTGTACGGAGTGGCAGCAGCAGGCTGCATGTCACGTGTGCAGCAGAGGCAGCATCAGGATGAAAGCAGTGCAGCCAGTTCCCTGAGCTGCACGGAGGTTTGGTGAGGTGTGGTGAGGTGTGCCATGGTGTGGCATAGTGTGCCCTGGTGTGGTGAGGTGTGGTGAGGTGTGCCCTGGTGTGGCATAGTGTGCCCTGGTGTGGTGAGGTGTGGTGAGGTGTGCCCTGGTGTGGCATAGTGTGCCCTGGTGTGGTGTGGTGAGGTGTGCCCTGGTGTGGCATAGTGTGCCCTGGTGTGGTGAGGTGTGGTGAGGTGTGCCCTGGTGTGGCATAGTGTGCCCTGGTGTGGTGAGGTGCGGTGAGGTGTGCCCTGGTGTGGCATAGTGTGCCCTGGTGTGGTGAGGTGTGGTGAGGTGTGCCCTGGTGTGGCATAGTGTGCCCTGGTGTGGTGAGGTGTGGTGAGGTGTGCCCTGGTGTGGCATAGTGTGCCCTGGTGTGGCATAGTGTGCCCTGGTGTGGTGTGGTGTGGTGAGGTGTGCCCTGGTGTGGCATAGTGTGCCCTGGTGTGGTGAGGTGCGGTGAGGTGTGCCCTGGTGTGGCATAGTGTGCCCTGGTGTGGTGAGGTGTGGTGAGGTGTGCCCTGGTGTGGCATAGTGTGCCCTGGTGTGGTGAGGTGTGGTGAGGTGTGCCCTGGTGTGGCATAGTGTGCCCTGGTGTGGTGAGGTGCGGTGAGGTGTGCCCTGGTGTGGCATAGTGTGCCCTGGTGTGGTGTGGTGTGGTGAGGTGTGCCCTGGTGTGGCATAGTGTGCCCTGGTGTGGTGAGGTGTGGTGAGGTGTGCCCTGGTGTGGCATAGTGTGCCCTGGTGTGGTGAGGTGTGGTGAGGTGTGCCCTGGTGTGGCATAGTGTGCCCTGGTGTGGTGAGGTGTGGTGAGGTGTGCCCTGGTGTGGCATAGTGTGCCCTGGTGTGGTGAGGTGTGGTGAGGTGTGCCCTGGTGTGGCATAGTGTGCCCTGGTGTGGCATAGTGTGCCCTGGTGTGGTGAGGTGTGGTGAGGTGTGCCCTGGTGTGGCATAGTGTGCCCTGGTGTGGCATAGTGTGCCCTGGTGTGGTGAGGTGTGGTGAGGTGTGCCCTGGTGTGGCATAGTGTGCCCTGGTGTGGCATAGTGTGCCCTGGTGTGGTGAGGTGTGGTGAGGTGTGCCCTGGTGTGGCATAGTGTGCCCTGGTGTGGCATAGTGTGCCCTGGTGTGGTGAGGTGTGGTGAGGTGTGCCCTGGTGTGGCATAGTGTGCCCTGGTGTGGCATAGTGTGCCCTGGTGTGGTGAGGTGTGGTGAGGTGTGCCCTGGTGTGGCATAGTGTGCCCTGGTGTGGTGTGGTGTGGTGAGGTTTGGTGAGGTGTGGGATAGTCTGTCCTGGTGTGGTGTGGTGAGTCGCGGTGTATCCTGCTGTGGTGTGATATTAAATAAAAAGTTGAAGTGATTTCTCACTCAAATGAGCATTGAAGGGGTGCTCTTCTCCTGCTTACAACCTTGGAGTCAGTGGTGGAAATTCCACGTTTCTATGGCGGGTGTGAGACTAAAATGAAGAGGTTGCAATGGAGGTAAATCGGGTTGGATGTGTGTCCGGCCATGAGGATGTTTGTGGTTTTGGAGGCGTATGGTAGCGTCTTGCTGCGTACAGGTCGTTACGTCCTGTGTACTGTATGTACAGTACAGGTATCATGGCAACTTGCGAGTGCCCCTGCAAGGCACTCGCCCACTCTCGAAGAGAGATCGACTCGAGACACAGGAAGCCGGCAGCGGATTCCATACAAAGCTCTGCGATGCTCTCTGTATGGAGGCGTTATCCGCCCAGTACTGAGTGTTTACGTGTGTAGGTGTGTGTAGGTGTGTGTAGGTGGAGGTGTGTGTAGGTGGAGGTGTATGTAGAGGTGTGTGCAGGTGGAGGTTTATGAAGGTGTATGTACGTGTATGTATATTCATGGTTTATGTAAATGTGTGTGGGTAGGTGGGGCAATATGTAGGTGTGTGTGTAGGTGTAGGTGTGTGTAGGCTGAGGGTGTGTGTGGGTGTGTGTAGGTGTGTGTAGGGGTGTGTAAGTGGAGGGGCGTGTAGGTGCAGGTGTGTGTAGGTATGTGTAGGTGTAGGTGTGTGTAGGTGGAGGTGTGTGTAGGTGTAGGTGTGTGTAGGTGTAGGTGTGTGTAGGTGCAGGTGTGTGTAGGTGGAGGTGTGTGTAGGTGAAGGTGTGTGTAGGTGTGTGTAGGTGGAGGTGTGTGTAGGTGTAGGTGTGTGTAGGTGTAGGTGTGTGTAGGTGGAGGTGTGTGTAGGTGTGTGTAGGTGTAGGTGTGTGTAGGTGCAGGTGTGTGTAGGTGGAGGTGTGTGTAGGTGAAGGTGTGTGTAGGTGTGTGTAGGTGGAGGTGTGTGTAGGTGTAGGTGTGTGTAGGTGTGTGTAGGTGTAGGTGTGTGTAGGTGGAGGTGTGTGTAGGTGAAGGTGTGTGTAGGTGTAGGTGTGTGTAGGTGTAGGTGTGTGTAGGTGTAGGTGTGTGTAGGTGGAGGTGTGTGTAGGTGAAGGTGTGTGTAGGTGTGTGTAGGTTGAGGTGTGTGTAGGTGTGTGTAGGTGTGTGTAGGTGGAGGTGTGTGTAGGTGAAGGGGTGTGTAGGTGTAGGTGTGTGTAGGTTGAGGTGTGTGTAGGTGTGTGTAGGTGTGTGTGTAAGTTGAGGGTGTGTGTGTAGGTGTGTGTGCGTGTGTCTCCTACTGCTTGAACATGCTCTCCATGTCCTTGATCTGCTTCCGCGAGAACTCCTTGAAGTCCGAGTAGGGGTTGAAGGCTCGCGCCGAGGGCCGCGCCGCCTCGCACGGCTTCCCCCCCTCCTGCTGCTGCTCCTGCTGCTCCTTGCCGCCGCCGCCATCCTCCTCACGGTCGAGGCGCCGCTGCAGCTTCCCCGCCAACTCGTCCGTGGCCATGGCGAGCGAGAGGCGGAGGCGGGACACGGAGACACGCGGCGGGGACACGGGGGACAGCACAGAGACAACAACAACAGCGGCAGTAGCAGTGGCGGTAGCAGCAGTAGCAGTGGCGGTAGCAGCAGTAGCAGCGGTAGCAGCAGCGGAGACGCGCGGGATGAGACGCGGACTGAGCCGCTGATGAGGGCGGGGGGCGGAGGCGACGGGGAGGAGGCGCCTCGGGGCAACAACCCCCCCCACCCCTCCTACCCCCCCCCCACCCCTCCTACCCCCCCCCACCCCTCCTACCCCCCCCCCACCCCTCCTACCCCCCCCCCACCCCTCCTACCCCCCCCCCACCCCTCCTACCCCCCCCCACCCCTCCTACCCCCCCCCCACCCCTCCTACCCCCCCCCACCCCTCCTACCCCCCCCCCACCCCTCCTACCCCCCCCCACCCCTCCTACCCCCCCCCCACCCCTCCTACCCCCCCCCCACCCCTCCTACCCCCCCCCCACCCCTCCTACCCCCGCCCACCCCTCCTACCCCCCCCACCCCTCCTACCCCCCCCACCCCTCCTACCCCCCCCACCCCTCCTACCCCCCCCACCCCTCCTACCCCCCCCACCCCTCCTACCCCCCCACCCCTCCTACCCCCCCACCCCTCCTACCCCCCCCACCCCTCCTACCCCCCCACCCCTCCACCCCTCCTACCCCCCCCTCCACCCCACCCCTCCTACCCCCCCCACCCCTCCTACCCCCCCCCACCCCTCCTACCCCCCCCACCCCTCCACCCCTCCTACCCCCTCACCCCTCCACCCCTCCTACCCCCCCTCCACCCCACCCCTCCTACCCCCCCATCCCTCCTACCCCCCCCACCCCTCCTACCCCCCCCACCCCTCCACCCCTCCTACCCCCCCCTCCACCCCACCCCTCCTACCCCCCCCACCCCTCCACCCCTCCTACCCCCCCACCCCTCCACCCCTCCTACCCCCCCCTCCACCCCACCCCTCCTACCCCCCCCACCCCTCCTACCCCCCCCACCCCTCCACCCCTCCTACCCCCCCACCCCTCCACCCCTCCTACCCCCCCCCTCCACCCCACCCCTCCTACCCCCCCCACCCCTCCTACCCCCCCCACCCCTCCTACCCCCCCACCCCTCCACCCCTCCTACCCCCTCACCCCTCCACCCCTCCTACCCCCCCTCCACCCCACCCCTCCTACCCCCCCCACCCCTCCTACCCCCCCACCCCTCCACCCCTCCTACCCCCCCACCCCTCCTACCCCCCTCACCCCTCCTAACCCCCCACCCCTCCTACCCCCCCCACCCCTCCTACCCCCCCACCCCTCCTACCCCCCCACCCCTCCACCCCTCCTACCCCCCTCACCCCTCCTAACCCCCCACCCCTCCATCCCACCCCCCCCCTGCGTGGGTGTGAATCTGACTGTTGTGTGTCTCAGTGTGTGTCACTGTGTGTGTCTCAGTGTGTGTCACTGTGTGTCTCACTGTGTGTGTGTCACTGCGTGTGTGTCTCACTGTGTGTGTGTCACTGCGTGTGTGTCTCACTTTGTGTGTGTCACTGTGTGTGTGTCTCACTGTGTGTGTGTGTCACTGCGTGTGTGTCTCACTGTGTGTGTGTCTCAGTGTGTGTCACTGTGTGTCACTGTGTGTGTGTCTCACTGTGTGTGTGTGTCACTGCGTGTGTGTCTCACTGTGTGTGTGTCTCAGTGTGTGTCACTGTGTGTCACTGTGTGTATGTCACTGTGTGTGTGTCTCACTGTGTCTCACTGTGTGTGTCACTGTGTGTGTGTGTCACTGCGTGTGTGTCTCACTGTGTCTCACTGTGTGTGTGTCACTGTGTGTGTGTGTCACTGTGTGTGTGTCTCACTGTGTCTCACTGTGTGTGTGTTACTGTGTGTGTGTGTCACTGCGTGTGTGTCTCACTGTGTGTGTGTCTCACTGTGTCTCACTGTGTGTGTCTCACTGTGTGTGTGTCACTGCGTGTGTGTCTCACTGTGTGTGTGTGTCACTGTGTGTGTGTCACTGTGTGTGTCTCACTGGGGAGCGGTAGTGTAGCGGTTAGCGCGCTGCGCTATGAACCTGGCGACCCGGGTTCGATTCCCGCTCACGGCTAACACCAGTGACGATTATCTGAACCGGTCCTGGGCCTCCCCTAGGTCGACTCAGCCTTAAATGAGTACCTGGTGCGGTGTGTAAACATCGCCACTAGGGAGACAAAGGCGGTCGGGCGTGGTGCTGGCCACCCACCCCCTCGTGTACCGTTCCGGCCTTCATAGGTGCTCGCTAACAGCACTTGCCCCTACAGTCTGTCCAGGCTATACGGGGGATCTTTGTCTTTATCTTTGTGTCTCACTGTGTCTCACTGTGTGTGTGTCACTGTGTGTGTGTGTCACTGCGTGTGTCTCACTGTGTGTGTGTCTCACTGTGTGTGTCTCACTGTGTGTGTGTCACTGTGTGTGTGTCACTGCGTGTGTGTCTCACTGTGTCTCACTGTGTGTGTGTGTCACTGTGTGTGTGTCTCACTGTGTCTCACTGTGTGTGTCGTGTAGTTACCGCTACGCTGCGCTACGAAGCCGGCGACCCGAGTTCGATTCCCGCTCACGGCCAACACCGGTGACGATTATCTGATAAGGTCATGGGCCTCCCCTAGGTCGACTCAGCCCCAAATGAATACTTGGTGTGTAAATATGGCCACTGGAGAGACAAAGGCGGCCGGGCGTGGTGCTGGCCACCCACTCCTTCGTGTACCGTTCTGGCCTTCTTAGGAGCTCGCTAACAGCACTTGTCCCAAAAGTCTGTTAAGGCTTCACGGGGGATCTTTGTCTTTGTATCTGTCTCACGTGTAACTGTGCGGCGTGGATCTGTCTCACTGTGTGCGTGTCTTTGTTTATTGTGTATCTATCAGGCTGTGCGTCGCATCGTATTTGTGTATAATCTGTCCGAATATATCTGGCTGTGTGGCTGAACGTGTCCGTGTGTTTATTATCTCTCCGGCTGGATGTCTATTTAGCTGGTTCACACACAGTCCGGGCCACTAATGACAGGCGAGTGTGTTGGAGGGTCAGTGTTTCACGTGGGCAGTTGCTTCTATTGGCAAACAATCCCTGCAGCACACGCGGCTTGTGAAGGGGACGCACGTGGGGGGGGCACGTGGGGGGGGGGGCATGTGAAGGGGACGCACGTGGGGGGGGCACGTGGGGGACGCACGTGGGGGGGGGGCATGTGAAGGGGACGCACGTGGGGGGGGGGGGGCACGCGGCTTCAACTCGCAGTGCCACCGTTGTGGTCAAGGAGCGGGCACCACAACGACCGAAACTCCTTCTCACTCGAGTTTGCTTCCAGTGGTTCTACCCAGTAAGCACGCAACGTGGGGCTAACGTTGCCATTTGGTGGTAACCCTTGAGCAAATGTTGGGCCAACATTCCCCGTTTACTGGGATGGGCCTCAGCCTCCACGTTGCACAGCGACGGTCTTTGTGGGCAGCTCTTGGCCATCCGGACCCCGCGGGGTTCAAGAGCCCAGGCAGCAGCAGCAGCAGCTGCACCAGGACAGCTGACGCTGGAGCGCCTGTGGCGAGACGCGAGATAGACAGTGGGCACAGCGCGGATGGGAAGCAGCAGCAGCGAGGGGAGCGGTCAGGGGAGCTCGCGGCCGCGCTGCGATTGGTTGGAATGGGGTCACGTGGGCTCTCGTCGTCCACGGCAACGCCGCTGTGATTACAATGGCGGCCAGTTACCACGTGAGAACCGAGGTGACGTGCAACAAGACGGGTACCACCTGGTCTGGTGTGTAGATAAAGTAGCAAACACCCACCCACCCACTGACCCACCAACTCATACACCCACCCACCAACTCACACAGTCACCCACCCACCAACTCACACACCCACTCACCAACTCACACACCCACTCACCAACTCACTTTACTGACCCACCAATTCACACACCCACTCACTGACCCACCAACTCACCCACCCACCCACTCACTGACCCACCAACTCACACACCCACCCACCAACTCGCTTCACTGACCCACCAACTCACACACCCACCCACCAACTCGCTTCACTGACCCACCAACTCACACACCCACCCACCAACCCACTTCACTGACCTACCAACTCGCTTTACTGACCCACCAACTCACACACCCACCCACCAACTCGCTGCACTGACCCTCCAATTCACACATCCACCCACCCACTCACTAACCCTCCAACTCACACACCCACTCACCCACTCGCTTCACTGACCCACCAACTCACACACCCACTCACCCACTCGCTTCACTGACCCACCAACTCACACACCCACCCACCCACCAACTCACTGACCCACCAACTCACACACCCACCCACCCACCCACTCACTGACCCTCCAACTCACACACCCACCCACCAACTCACTGACCCTCCAACTCACACACCCACCCACCCACCCACTCACTGACCCACCAACTCACACACCCACCCACCAACTCACTGACCCACCAACTCACACACCCACCCACCCACCCACTCACTGACCCTCCAACTCACACACCCACCCACCAACTCACTGACCCACCAACTCACACACCCACCCACCCACTCACTGACCCTCCAACTCACACACACCCACCCACCAACTCACTGACCCACCAACTCACACACCCACCCACCCACTCACTGACCCTCCAACTCACACACCCACCCACCAACTCACTGACCCACCAACTCACACACCCACCCACCCACCCACTCACTGACCCTCCAACTCACACACCCACCCACCAACTCACTGACCCTCCAACTCACACACCCACCCACCAACTCACTGACCCTCCAACTCACACACCCACTCACTGACCCTCCAACTCACACACCCACTCACCCACTCGCTTCACTGACCCACCAACTCACACACACACCCACCCACCAACTCACTGACCCACCAACTCACACACCCACCCACCAAGTCACTGACCCACCAACTCACAAACCCACCCACCCACTCACTGACCCTCCAACTCACATACCCACCCACCAACTCGCTTCACTGACCCACCAACTCACACACACACACCCACCAACTCGCTTCACTGACCCACCAACTCACACACCCACCCACCAAGTCACTGACCCACCAACTCACAAACCCACCCACCCACTCACTGACCCTCCAACTCACATACCCACCCACCAACTCGCTTCACTG